GTAAACACGTCAGGTACAGTCAATCCTTCTGTGTGGCGTAAAACACGCCAGGTACAGTCAATCCTTCTTTGTGTTGTAAAACACGTCAGATACAGTCAATCTCTGTCTGTGTGTGTGTGTTGTGTTGTGTTGTAAAACACGTCAGGTACAGTCAATCCTTCTGTGTGGTGTAAAACACGTCAGGTACAGTCAATCTGTGTAAAACTGTGAGGAGAAGACAGAAAAACATGACTGCAGAAAGTCCCAGTTTGTAACATGTTATCATCAACACTGGAAATATCATTTGTACTTTTTCTGGACGGAAATTTCCTGAATTCACACAGAGAACAAGGTTATTGTATTGTTTTTGAAATCTCTATAATTATTGCTGCCATTATTAGTTAGGTCCTCCCTTCTGTTTCCTGACATGAAGCATTATTAATGAAGTTGTTCTGAATAAAATTAGCACATTTCAAAACTCAGCAAGTTACTTTGCAGCAGTGGTGGAGAAAGTTTTCCTGTTTTATATTCACACCCTCATATTTCTGAAGCAGGAACCAGTTGACTTTGAGTGCTTTTACTATTGATGACGAACAAATCAGTTGCCAATGAGTTTGCATTTATTAACTGTTTCAGAACTATATTTACTCCACAAAAAGTCACTGCACTTTCAGCTTAACACTTGTTTCGCTCACAGTTTTAACAGATTCGCCAGCACGTTTCGTCCACTGTACAAGAAGAACCCTCAGAGGATGGAGAGCATTCATAAGCAGTTCATAGAGGAGTTGCAGAAGGCTATACAGGTATTCATTACATGAATCCAATTTATGATGATATATTCACTGCATTGATATTTTTATTATTTACGTAAATGCAGTATGAACTGCTCTTTTTTTTATTACACACGTCTGTGTCTCTGTGTGTGAAGGATGACACCAGCAGATTGATTGAAGAAGGGCAGTTGGAGGTCAAACTGAATGAGCTGGACAAACTGGAGCGTGCTGCTAAGAAGAATCCACAGCCTGCATGGTTAGTAAACAACATCATCTCTGTTATTGATTTCCCTGTTAAACACAGATCTATAACAACATCTCAATTCTGACATCCATCCCACTCCCTGTTAAAACCACTCACTCTAATAAATTCTGACAACAAGCAATAGAAAGTTAATTCTCTAAGCAAATATATGACACTTCTCAATCTTCTGACCTGCACGAGAATCTGATGTTTGTCTGCTGAGATTCTCTCCACCCCTCTCTCATTTAATTGTGGTCTTATGTGGAAACTGTTGTTGGTCAAATATATAATTATATTATTTGAAATTTTAAAAGTAGCTCATTTTGAGCATTTCCACGATACTTCAGAGCAGGTACATCATGATGGATACACACGATACAGTAATTAAAGTTAAGTGCATTGCTCGTCATCGTTGTACTGTGCATCACCCTCTGCAATATTTCCATTTTGCAATGTGATGAAAATAGAAAACATTTTAATCGTTTACAATCTTACTTCTTGGTTAGGCGTCCAAGTGGAGTTCCTGAGCAGGACTTTTGCAGTTTCTTGATGCCCTACTATCAAAAGCAGGAGGCTTACATGCGACTGGAGCTGAAGAAAATCCAAGCGGAGAATGCTGCACTTGCTCAAAAGGTTCAGGCGGGGAGAGAGAGCATTGCTCAGACTGAAAACTGCATCTCAGAGGCTGTCGATGAGTGGAAGGTAAGAGGGGAACGATTGAAGATCAGTAAGAAGAGAAAATAGATATTAAAAATAAACACGAACAACATGACCATTTTTGCACTTACTAAGAGGATGCAAGTGTAAAAGTGTCTTTGTGTGACATTCAGGGCTATACTGAAATTATATGCATTCAAAGTACTTGTGCTAATTATAGATGCAACATAAAGCGTTTTTAAGTTTTCAACCCATTTTCAAGCAGCTTGGTTAATACCTAATTTCAGATGTTATTATATATAATCCTTGGTTATATTAAAAGTGAAATAGTTTGTAGATAATGTAGTAGTATTTCTATAATATATAAACATCTGGAGTTTTCGCCATATTATGAATTCATTATCTTGTTTCCATACAAGGACGTTCAATTTATGTTTATCATGAATGCATCTTTATTGTTTTTAGACCACATTGGTACATTTTGAGGAACTCTAATTGCTGGGGGCCAAACATTATTATTATTATTATAGCATAAGAAGAGAAATAAATGAATCTTGCCTTGAGTGCTTCTATATTTTTCTCTTTTTCAGGCATCAGTCACAGAATTTGAAAAGCTGGCATCTTCTCTCTGCCCCGCTGATGTCTTCGATGTGTGATGCTCGGATAACTCCACCAAGCAACTAACTTAACTGTACATATTGATTATGTTTACTGTGCATGTTTGTCTGAAAATAAATGTTTTGAAATAAAATGTGTTCTGTGATCTCAGTGATTAAATCCATGCTGGCCAACACGCACCAATCATTGTGGTACCGTCTACGTGAGGTATTACGGTAGACGGGCCATACAAAGAAGTGGTCTGGTGGTTGACGCTCGGTCTGACTCACGGTGGAACCTCAGTCTGACTAACAAACCTGAGGCTTGAGGGAACCGGTGATTTCTTTCCGTATCGATGTGTAGTTCGCGGTAGATATGACGGAAATGTTTTCGACTATGTTCGGGCAAAATGAAGCTCAGGGACCGCCTGGATCCTCTTTGGGTTTCGGACCGGGGAAACCTCCACCGCCTCTGCCGCAAAATCAAGTCTCCATGTCGGGGCAGATGCCAACACAGCTCGGGGATGAGGGGCCTGCTCTGCGGAAGCCCGGAGCCATGAATGAACCTTTCTACTTACTGCGGGAACTACCAGGTATTATTGAACCCTTACAATGCACGGCTGCCCTGTGTCTTGTTTGTTAATGTTTGATTTTTCAAGTTGTCTTCTGCTAAACGTTGTTGAACAGTTTGTAAACACTGCTAGGTAGCGTTAGCCGAAGCTAATTAACGATGTTAGCTTACCAGTTACTCTCAGGTATTATTGTTTCTGTGACACTAAAATATTTCCAAATGAGATAAACACGATTCAACACTGGTTTGTGTTTTGAAGTTGGACGTTATGTAACTACTCTTATCACAGGATTGATCATCCCTGACCTGACAGTAGCTCCAGTGGGAAAAGATCCCTCAACCTAGCCGTGTTGTAGCTCCATCTCAAAGTGACTTACAGTTCGTTGTGCTGACACGAACCTTTGTGTTTAGTGGGGAACGAGTTAACGGGGAACACCAACCTCATCACGCACTACAACCTGGAGCACGCGTACAACAAATTCTGCGGGAAGAAGGTGAAGGAGAAGCTGAGCAACTTTCTACCAGAGTTACCAGGTGGGTGAGAGAGAAACAGATGTTACACAGTGGAGATGGAGACAAGGTCACAGAGTGGGAGACTAGTTCACAGGTTATGTTGTTAGCCATACATTCTACTCAATGTCATCCTGTATGTATGTGTATATAGTCTGATGTGACTTCATTATAGGAGCCTCCATCTGTAAGCAGACCTGTTATTGTAAAGGGTCAAAGCTCCAGCAACACGTGTAATATTAAGCAAAACATATTTTTAGACTGGCACCTCTCAGCTTGTCACCTTCCATTGGGATTCATCAAAAATATTACCTTCCATATTAAATGTTGTAGGATTTATTTGATATTCATAGGTATCACTATGGAGTGTTGCTGAACTTGGAGCTGTTATCCCCATAAAACCACATCTTTCATCTGTAAATGTTGAGATATACAAATCTAACACAGAAATTCGAGAAAGGTCTGTCCATTGTTGTAACTTAGATCTGTATGATCATAAAAGCAATTAAAAAAAATTGTGTCATTCAGTTGAACCCCAAACACCCCCACTGCTTTTATTTGTGATACCTCCACACTGAGTGTTTGTAATCTCAACTTAGTTTCTTCATCGCAGGGTTTCCACTGCTCATCACTTTGCTCTCTCTCCTCTCCTGTGCCTCAGGTATGATCGATTGTCCGGGCACTCAAGATGGCAGCTCGTTGCGCTCTCTGATTGATAAGCCTCCAGTGTGTGGGAACTCCTTCAGCCCACTGACCGGCGCTCTACTCACAGGCTTCAGGCTACATACAGGACCGGTACTTACGCAATTCAATAAACATACAACAGTCCCAAACATTTTCAGCTGTTAACTGTATCAGGATGGTTTGTTTGTAGTTATAATATTCAGGTTCTTCAGTTGAATACTCACATGTTTTTATATACATTTTTCCCAGCTTCCAGAACAGTACAGACTGATGCACATACAGCCTCCAAAGAAGAAGAGCAAACATAAACACAAGCATCATCGACCACAGGACCCACTACCACAAGGTATGACTCAAACTACACCTCTACACAAACACAGAGGAATGCAACATGTTTCAGGCCACTGACCTGCTTATGTTCGGCGTCACAGAAACTCCATCAGACTCCGATCCCAAGAAGAAGAAGAAGAAGCGAGATGACGATCCCGACCGCAAGAAAAAGAAGAAAGACAAGAAGAAGAAGAAGGTAAGAAAATCTATTTGCCAAAAACCACATTAACTCACAAAGTTGTCATTAAGGTGTTATCAGGACTGCATCTGAGACCTTTATCGAGACTGTAGCCGCAGCAAACCCATATCTCAACTCCATTTTCCCACTGGGGGAATTCCTGATATGTTCACCTCGATCAAAACGTATTAACTGTGTGTTTTGCCGATTCTCTGTCTCTCTCCAGAACCGCCACAGTCCTGACCACCCCGGCCTCGCTGGATCACAACCCAACAGCAACAGCCTCAGATAGACAGCAGCCCACTGTGTGCATGCCTGTGTTTGAATGTGTGTGTGACTGAACATTTTGTATGAGGGCGTGTGTTTTACAGATTAATTGTATTATTGAGTTAACGAGAGGAGGGGATGAATTAAAGAATGCGAGTGGTTGTATGATGAATGTGAGAGTGAAAGGAGCTGCGACACAGTGGATGTGATGGGAGGAAGACAAGTTACAGAACAGTGTAAAAAGGCTGCTTGGATTCATGGAAGAGTGAGCGGGCGCTGTATGTATGTCGCTATTTTGATTTTGTTGTGATATCTTTTGAACGTAATGCCAAAATCAAATAAACTTTGGTGTCTCCTTTTAAGACATCCTTTTTTGGATTTTGGATTTGGAGTTTTTGGGTTGTTATACTTGATAAGATCCACAACTGGGGCACCTTGTTGCTGTGATGGATGTAAAAAAAAAAAAGCCACTTAAGACTAGATGTTTACATTCATATTTTTATTTTTCAAACGCTCAAGCTGGATATATTGATTGAAGGCAGGAAAGAAAGGCGTACATTTAGCAAGACATACCAGCACAATAAATCTGATGGTGAGGAGAGACTACTCAGCAAGCTAGTGTAGACTGTACAGTATTAAAACACAGATAAAGGAAAGTGTGTGAGACTGTGAGGTGTTGATTTAACTAAACTTTAAACAACAATTCAAGTAGGTACTAATATGGATTGGTAATAGAACTATTACCAATCCAGCATTAATAGAGATCTGACAGTTTTCAACATTAAATACTGTAATGTGAAAAGAAAGTTTTGACATAAGCCAAACTGAAAAATCTTTCCAACAGTGAATGAAATGTACTCATCGGTTTTTAAACTCAACAACATCAACTCCAGCCTCTAAACTGAGAAATCTGAAGAACACATCTGATTATCAACAAAAACCAAACATTATGACTGGACTGCAGGACTAATGTTCTGTTTGTAGGTTCTCCTGAGGAATAGAACTGTACTAAATGCAAGCTTTGCAGTCTCTAATCATGGCTTTGGTTTACGTTTGGCACAGAAATGCATCTCCCACTCACTATGTGATGAAGGTAAGACAAAGGCACAGAGCTGAAACTTTGAAACAGTCTTGTTTGTCCTCAGGGTGAAAAATAACAGAAAAGCAGAAAAAGAAATGCATGAAACAAGAAACTCTCTAAAGCTGTCTTCACTCTGAAATTGAGTTGAGAATTTCAAAATTATACGTTACAATTGATTTTATAAATCTACATGACACTTGCAGGTACAGACTAGATACAGTACATTGTGTGATCACGTTTGAAGATATGAACACTTTTCTATTTTGATATATTTTTTCATCATGTGGCTGAGCATTGAAGCAGCCATCACAAAAAATGTCACAAAAAAGGCAAAAAGCTGAATACAAAGCAAATCACATGAGCTTCATTCATAATCAGCACACTACAAAACAACATTTGCTGATACAGAAACAAACGCTTCCCTTTTTAAAGCTACTGCAGCTAGAGTATAAAAAGACACTTAAATACATATTTTATACACACTAGTTCATTTCTGTGCATAAAGCAGTACAAAGTGTTGAACAACACTGACAAACGTGTCTGTTTTAAAAAAAAAAATGTCCTTGTGAAATAAAAAAAAAAAAACAGAAATGCAAGGGCTAAAGTACATTAATGCACAAGGAAAAACTTTAGCTGTGATTAAATTTGTTTGGGGTGAACTTTGAAACAAAAAACAACAAATGATGGACAGATATAGGAGTCGGCTGCAGAGAGACAGTACAAAAACAGGAAACAGAGGAGGTAGATATGTGTCTCTACAACCAGCCTATCTGTGCGTGTCTGTGTGAATAACTACGCTCTGAAAATACTCATAAAACCTTCTTTATACGTACAAAAGGTCGAGTATTCAGAGTTTCTTATGCTTTACATTTTCCTTGGTAGCTTGTACGCTCCTATTAGTGTGATGAAGTATGATTAAAGCTTTTGCTGAGGGCTTTACAGTGGAAACAACACTACTAAACGTTTGCTTCATAAGCACACATCTCAAACAAAACTGAACTACAAAGTGAAACGTTCCTATTATCATTAGCTGTTCTTTGGTGTTAGCGAGGATTATGATGATTATCTGAAGCGACTGTTTAACAGCTTTTCAAGTACCGTGTTGCGTGTGGTATGCCTCGCAGCGGATACACCAGGATCTGTGAGCGTGTCTGGGCGTGCGAGTGACATCCATGGCTTTAAATCACATGAATTTGACCTCAACTAGAATAAATAAACAGCAACAAATGATGATGACACAACTTCTCCTGTAACACTAGGTTGGTGGGTGGGGCGGTGGGCTCTGTTTGATCTGCGATCGGTTTGTTGTGCGGAGCGAAATTTGCAGCAGTAATGGCCACGGAAAAAACCCAATGTCAAACTATATTTATTTGGATGAATAGATTGCCAGATCTCCTTCTGAAGGCACATACAAAAATAAATCCTACATTTTCCCAATCCTCGGCCTTTGTGTCTTTTAGGCCTCGACAGCAGCGAGGCCGTTGGTGTGGGGCTTGAAGCCGTTGGCCTCGCTGTGGTTGAGCGCCTGCATCTCCTGCTCGCCGGCCTGCTTGTCTCTGGCCTCCTTTTCCCTCAGCAGGTGTCTGCGGTGGTAGAACAGGTAACCGGGCAACAGGAAGCCGGACAGTGAGGCGATCAGCAGGCTGAGGTTGATCTGAGGGATGATGAGTTTAGCAGGTATTTAGCAACTGAAATATTCCTGATGCTACAGCTGGATGCAAAGTGAAAGGCTCAAACAAACATCTGGCCATTTCTTGAGGCAAAGTGAATTTCTGGAACAGATGTTTATATAAACTTGGTGGTAGCGCTGGAGGAAAAGACAGGCGATTGCCAAAACCCACAGGCTGACGCTGTCAACATCTATAGAGCCGTGCCGCTCACATTATGTATTTATATAACTACGACTTAAAATATTTACTCTGGTAAAGTATTGATACATTTAAATTAATCGGGGCTTAGGAATGCATGTTTGCTTTTATTTACGTGTCATTATTCTGTTCGCTTGTTGAACGTTTCAGAGACTTTGTTTGGATTCTGCTTATGTTGGGACTTTGTTTTATATATTTGGATTTTTGGTTTTGACTTTCCTTGTGTCTCCTACTTGGTTATTTCCTGTCTTACCTGTTTCCCGCCTGTGTTTCCCTATGTGTTTTACCTGTGTTTCATTATCCCTGCCTCCGTTATGTATTTGGTCTCGGTGCTCCCAGTGTATATTTGTTTTTGAGCTTGGCTCCAGTTATTACTTTTTCCTTTATTGAGGGACAATTGATCCAATCGAAGCTTTTCTGTTAAATTACTGGAATCAATCACTGAACTTCCCCTGCTGATCTTTGTGTCTGCACTTAGGTCCAGAAAAAAACTAGAGTTAACATGTGAAATTACACAAGTTACTTCTTATTTAATTTTACTCTTAAAAACATAACTGATCTCCTTAACTCTCACTCACCATGGCAGTGTGAGTGGATAACCTCAGTTTAGTTTTCAGTTACTTCACTTATATTAATATATTATCAATCACTAAGTAAGTAGGGAGCAGAGTAAAACAGAGTCAGAGATTGTGAGTTTATGCTAAATTTAGATTTAGTGTAATATATTTTGTTAGTTCAAACTGATTTGTTGCATGAGAGTAAAATAACTACATAATTCATATAAAAAGTTCCAGTGAGAGTCAGATTGACCCTATGCACTTCCTGTCACAATGAACTATGCTGAGACCTTGTGTATTTGTATGTCTCAGTGTGATAAGTGCATAGTTGCATTAATAAGAGTCTCTCCTCACCCAGTAGGGGTCTCCTTTCAGGGGTCCGACCATGGTGATGAAGAGCGGCTGCTGCAGCAGAGCGATCACGGCGCTGATCATGGACTGGAGGCCTGTCAGGGTGCCGAAGTGGTTGGACGGGTAGCTGTGGGAGAGATAGCGGGTGGTTACAGAGAGTTTGAAACAACAGGCGGAACTACACTCCAGGTTCAAGGAAGAAAGAACATTACAGAGAATTTCATTATTATTGATATGAGCACTCACACAGCAGCGTAAAGGCCTCCGCAGCAGGAGTGGATGAAACCTCGGACCATGGTGTGGAGGATGAAGGTCAAAATCTAAAAGGAACAGAAAACGAAACAATGTGAGTGTTGGTACTTTTTATTCTTTTCTTAGTGTTCTTGTTCCTTTGCTGCTGTAACGTATGTGTTTGTATGTTCTACCTGTAGAGGCAGGTTGTCTATGAGGCAGCAGCATCCAAAAGCGATGAGCAGCACGTTGGTGAGGATGAAGGCTCTCATGGCGTTGGTCACTTTCTGAATCTTACGGTCCCTCTTGGTTCCACTGGTCTGTCTGATGAGGCAAACACAAAGGTGCTACATCATCACCACACTCACATTTAAACTTTACATCAATGTTCACCATATTTCATCAAAATGCCACAACTGTCTTTATACCATCATTATACACAGTCTATGGTCATAACCACAGACTGTATATAAAGATGGACCCTCCCTATGTGTCCTGGCCATATCTTGACTCGGGATGTACCTCTGCTCTGTGCCTGAGGAAGCGGTCGTCTCCTCGTTACACTCCTTCATCTTCCAGTCCATGATGTATCCAATCAGAGGACATGTGAGAAGACACAGCAGCTGCAGTGTGCCGAAGATAGAAGAGTAGAAACCCACTGAGGGAAATAGAATGAGCAAAAGTTTAGATTTTTACAAATCAGTTACAAAAAGTATTTTAAGCCACATTATTACACTGCTCACCATTTGTTTCTGCTTCCAAAACCAGCTGCTCGGTAGCTGAAATATAAAGAGAGATATTCGATATTCAATATTCCATCGAAGTTATTAATAATGTACAATAAATGAAAGTGTTTGCTGCGGCTGTGGTTGAGGGTTTGACACTTACGATGCTCTTCACCATGCGTGACCACGAACTCCAGCATTTTGTTCATCGCCCCCATGAAGAAGATGATCCTTAACTGGGACATCCCCATGGTAACCAAACTCCACAGGAAGATGGGAGAGAACACGGACCGGCGAAACGGAACAGCATCTTAAGAGAGAAGGAGAATTCCTCATTTATTAAATGGAAAAGTTACACCTCGACAAAAGAATGCATCTGTTTTTATTTACATATATGATGGAAGCTCAGGCCTGACGATTAGGATTTATTGCTTAAGATTGATGGTAAAAATTGAGGGAAATCTAGTCTGTAAACCTGTCACAATAGGATTAAAAAGACAAAAATGCAGAAAAATTTCTGCAAAAAAGAACAATTTCTTGACTTCTGACTTACTGGGTGCCGGGTCAGGACCATTAGAGAGCTTCTCTGTCGAGTGTTGCACGTCTCCATTTTTCTGTTTCTGTGTCTCTGATACCATCTTCTGGTCTGATGATGGCAGCTCTTTCATAGTGAGGATCTTACTGTTGAATACACACAGACACACATCAGTGTTTGGGTTGGGGTGAAGGTCCAGGTATGCGCTCTCTAATCACTGAGATGTGACGAAGGAACAGACTGGCTGTCTCACTAACCTGTAGTCCACTTCTTCAGGTGTTGGGAAACCTTCTGCAGGCCAGTTTAAGAAACAGTTGAGACAGACAGTCCCAGCAAGACCAGCCCACATCCACATGATCACCTGGAAGGATACGCCTGCATCGTAGATCAGCTGCGAAGAAACAGGAGCGAGTCAGACAGGTGAGCCTGAGTCTTTGTTTTATCATCATGTGGATTTAATTGAAAGATAATATTTAATCTAGAAGTAATCTTGATGTGAATTTAACAGAGTAAAAATGTCATTACATATTCTAGACAAGTTTCTAATGAATATATTGATCCTGAAAGTGGAATTCCACATTTACAAGTGCAGAATGGGAAACTATTTTGTTGTGTATCTTTTGTTTGAATATTTACTGGTAATGGATTATGTTTTTCAAAATGAGACAAACAAGATTTGTTAAGTAAATTGCATTTGCTACAAAAGTTTCATTAACTGATATGATATGTCACATGGGGGGGGGCACAGAAATAACTCTTAACACAATACTGACTTATTATTATCACATTGTTATTGTCGCAGTTGCTGACGCAAAACGACATTTGTTTTAATTTAGAGTCATGTTTTCATTTGTTTTGGTAAAAAAACTTGACTATGTTCACCAGATAGTTGTGAGATGTGTTGTTCTGTGTTGGGCAGGAAACACACAGTGGTCATCAGGGTTTGTTTGCTGCTGCTTTAAACAATGTGCATTTGTGGAGAACCAACACGAGCTGAAAGAGGCTATAATGCTCTGTAATAAAAATCATTGCATCGTTGGGGGACAGTTCTCTATGGGACTTGAACTTTTGTTCTTTCTGTGAGCTGCAATTTCTCAAAAACTTGAATGAATAATTTTCAGTACCAAGTTCCAAAGGCATCATAACATAGTATTGTTGCTGCTTATTTTTATGTTTTCTTTTAGAGAAGCACAAAGTGTGTCAGTACAACAGTCATTGTTTAAGTTACCCTGACTCCAGGGAAGGTGACAGCCGACGAAGCATAGGAGCCGATCATCAGAGACATGACGGTGGAGCTCAGGGCGCCAAACATGTTGGGGAGCTGCAGGGACAAAGGGAAGGAGACATGAGAAACTATATGATGTAAATCCACACAATAAACACAGGTCATCACACTAAATATCTAAATAAGATGATGTATACCTCAACAAAAGAAGCCGTTGTGCTGTCCACACTTGTTTAGTGTAGGAGTGTGTTGTTATGACCAGCAGAGGGCAGACAGCTGCTTTGTGTGAGCAGGATGAACCGGCCTGAGTGAACTGCTCTCCCTTAATTGAAACTGTGAAGGACCTGTCCTGCCTCCAGAGTTTGGACCCAGTAACACCTCTCTCTCCCCGCAGAGCAGACTCATTAAAAAAATATTAGTTTCCATGTCATGGGAAACAAGAAACAGAGTCATGACCCAGTTTGGGTGCTGACCCCACAGTTCAAACAAAGACTAAGCCATCCTCACACACTCAGGCTCTTTTTTTTCTTTCCAGTTTCAACTAATTCTTTGAGTTAGGATTAAACATGTGGAAACCGACCTATAGCCAGCTCTTGTTTAACTTCACAGGGCTCATCAGACCCAGACCCAGCATGACACACCGGGTAGGGGACGAGGTGGCGGGCACCAGGCACTAAGACATCATATATTAGATCGACCTATTTACAGTAGTAAGTAGCTTAGCAACATAACAATGACCTATTGTGCTGACAACTCACTCAGTGTCCTTTGATTAGACTTTTAAATGGGTCAGTCACGATTAAAATATCACATGTGTGGGATTTTAAATGTGTGCTGCATGACACGCTCACAATTCCCCCTTAACACAGACCATGGTTTCCCAAACTTCAGCTGGTGTCAGCTAAGCTTGTGTTACACATTTATAATGTACAGCTGTAATAAAGTACTAGATCAGAGTTTATACATATACCAATACATGTATATATATTATTGACTCTTGTCTTACCCTATGGCAGACTAAGGTCTATAGGTGGATAGTACAGGAAAGCGGGAGGTCACTGACATGTGGTTGGCAGGTAAACGGGAAAAAAGAAAGCTTTCCTTGGGATGTTCGAGGAAGAGTCAGACTGTCTGAGTGATTTGAGTAAAATATCCCCGAGAACACCCATCCTCATTGAGTGCTTCTGAGAATTGAGAAACTTCACAGCCCGTCTGTGGCCATGAGACCCGCAGCGCCGGGACTCTGTGGCTGCGGAGGATTGTGGAATGCAGACGAGGGCCCTCTGAGCACACAGGGGAGTTTGCATCTCTTACTAATGTTAAAGCAAAGATATTCCAGCCATGTGAGATATCAGCGAACTGATGTTTGCTTTCAGAAGCGTAAGACAGCCGCCTGAGACCTGTGTGTGAGGAGGAAGGCGAGAAAAACATGTGAATGTATGTGTCAGTACATGTGCCAGAAACAGACAAGGTTCCCTGCGCTGAGTTCTGGCAATTCCCATGAAATGGGTTTCACACAGGACCTTGCAGCATGTCGTGCATGCTCGCGCTGCCAGGGGGACGGGGACGGAAACACATGACCGCGTGGAGGCACACGAGGGTCAACCGGTGTCAGAAAGTCACACACAGACGGAGCTTTGGCTGTTCACTTGTCGCGACTAATCAGTCCCAGCTCTACTCGTGCTGTGCTCACTCATTTGAGTGTTGTAAGACTTTGGCACTGAGTTTAATTAAGACTTAATGAGCACTGAACTTTTTATGCAGCTCTGAACTGGTGGAGGAGAGGTAGACGCAAGTAGACAAAGTGGAATAAAAGAGAAAAGGAGAGAAAGGAAGGAGAGAAGTACATGAAAAGAAGTGACGATGAATGAGAGACGTAGTGGGAGCTTCTTTTTTCGTTTGATCTCCTCAAGCTACAGCTGCAGCTCCTCTCTCTGCAGAGCACCCAGCAGGAAACACTAAACTGCAGCTGATTAGAGTCGGCTTCTTCTCTGCACCTCAGCTTCTCACTGAACGGGTCAAATCTTTATTCATCACAGCATTGGCACTGTCCTCGTGTCCAGCTGCAGAGAACTTACATAACACATCTAAAATAACCACCCTGTGGTTATATGTATCCACCATCCTGTGCAGTTTCAGTCTCATATAAGGGCACTGTGATCTTCGATCACTGAAATCGAATCAGTTCATCTCTGAGTACACAACTGGTCAAAATTAGGAATATTTCCCAGAAGGCAGACTTGAGATACCATTTTCAAGAGGCCAAAAATATGGTTTGTGAAGCCTACTGGACCTTTGACCACTCAAATCCAAACATGCAATCTGTGAACATTTTTGCCAAATTGGAAAATATTCTCTTGTGGCATTGTTGAGATAACACGTTCACAAGCAACAAAACAGAAATTTGTGAAATCACAGTTACATTGACCTTTGACTTTCAATGACAAAAATCGAATCAGTTCCTTTTTGAGTTCAAAAGAAAGTTTGTACCAAATTTCAAGCCATTCCCTCAAGGTGTTCCTAAGATACTGAGTTCAGAACACCAAAAACATGACAAGAGACCTTGACCATTGACACACAAATCAACATCAGTCAATCTGTGACCTTAAGTGAACGTTTGTTCCAAATTTAAAAGGAATCCCGGAAGACTTCTTGAAATGTTACGTTCACAAGGCACAAAACGTGATTTCTGAGGTCACAGCGACCTTAACCTTTGATCACCAAATTCTGATCATGTAATCCTTGAGTCCAACTGAAAGTTTGTATATCTGAAGAAATTTCCTCTCGTCTCTCTTGAGATATTTTGTCCACAAAATTGCGACAGACAGACAGACAACCTTGAAACATGCAGCCTCCAGCCGCTGTATTAAGCAAGCAGACATAAAAAGTGTTCAGTCGTAAAAACGTTGTCTCAACCCAAACATTGACTCTTGATTTCTTATTTTGTTGATATCCGACCCAAATCATCTTTCTAAGAGCCAATTCTCTTCAATGGCCTTTAACTGCTGAGCAGATTTTTATTAGCTCTCGTATGAGGAACCAGGACTGAGTTGAAGGGCATTCCCACATCTGTTAGTGTAAAAGAAAAGGGGGGCGCGGCGGCATCCTTGGTCCCTCCTCCACATGTTACGCAACTGTGCCCTCGTATGAACTTCAAAACCACATGGCTGTTTTCACACTAGTTAATGATGCAGGAGATCAGTCTAAACTAATTACTTTATTTTTTTTTCAGACCAGTTTTAAATTATGTAAGGGCTGAAACAAAATGCGTCCATGGCGAGCTGCAGGGCGAACCTCAAACTTTCATTTAGTTACAGTGTCACAATGAAGAATTCAAGTTTAAAAAACTGTAAATTCTTAATATCGATACTTTTTGCTTTTTTCCGCTTTTGTCAAATGTTTCTTTCATTTTAAATATACATGACCTTTATATTTAAGGTTACTTTAATTATTCTTTTTATTAACCTTATACATGTGCCAACATACATACACTCTGATCCACTTTCACTAAAAACACAATAATGTCCTGAACACCTGAAACCAAGCGGCCTCTAAATACACAGTTACAGGTTTGTTTGAATTGTACAGATTAATTGGGGTTGTGTTTTTTGCCCCTGGCCAGTGGTTTGTTTGTTTGTCAGCAGGATTACGTACAAACTACTGAATGGATTTCCACGAAACTTAGTGGAAGGATGTGACAAGGGCCAAGAAAAGAACCCATTACATTTTGACACAGAAGCAGATTCAGGATTTTTCTTCTTCATCTTCTCAAAAATTGTGAGATTTGGCTTGATCTTGATGAAAACAAACCTAAGCAAACTAATATCTATGGGTTATCTATAAGTTAGGATGAAGTTGGTGGAAGTATGCGCTCTGCTGAAAACCTAGTTCACTATTTCTAACATTTCAAATTTCAAGCAAAACACATATTTCTTTGGCCTCTTATGATCCTTTTGCCAGTTTGTTTAAAAAGTGAACTTATAGATGTATTAGTAGTATAAAACAAGAACAAATGGAAACTTTCCTTAGTTTTTTTTAATGTTTTATACAAAAGTAATCTCTTTATGACGTCAGATAATGTTCACATGTATTTTTGTGATTGTAATTGATGAATTGTCTCTACATCAGAGGGTTGGTTCCTTCATTTTGAAACTGACAATTAAAGAACTTATTTTCCTTCAACAGTAACTGCTTTATAATCTATTATGAGCTGTTCCACTCAAGCACATGGTTTAAATCATGTTGTGTGTGTGTGTGTGTGTGTGTGTGTGTGTGTGTGTGTGTGTGTGTGTGTGTGTGTGTGTGTGTGTGTGTGTGTGTGGGTGGGTGAGACAGAGAGCCTGTATCGTCATCCACTCTTCAGAACAACAACAACCGTATGGAGGTCAGTCAATGACGGCAAAACCAACGCAATAAGAAAGAGACATAGGGGTCATACAGGGTTACAGGGGGGTGTATGTATATGTGCCAAAAATACATAAATACTGACGTGTGTATCCATGTGCAAAATAATATGTGTCATCCTTTTCTCAGATAAGAACCTAAAATCCATTCAATATTAATTAACAACTTACTATTTGATTATTCGAAAAATGTTGAAACTAACTGAAATGTTCACAATTCCACCTTTCCACAAATTTCTTTTACATTTTTCTTCATGTAAAAACAGCCATTTAAGCCATTTATCAGCAGTTTCAGTAAGATATGGGGCAAAGTTGACGGTGCTCAATATCACTTCAACCTAATTAAAGCCTGGTTTATACATTTGCATAACATCGTTATGAGCCCAGGCTGCAGCCTACGCCTGTGTCCTTGAGAGCTTTTATACTTGAGCAAAAGTGTGTCGCTGTGTCGCTCTGCAATTACACCAACAAATCTCTAACAAGCATTGAAGTTTCTACACTACCAACAATGACAAGGAGATGATGTGTGTGACCTTAGAACTGACTTGGGCAGAAGAAGGAAGAGTTTTGTGTTTAAGACAGATGAGACTTGCTCTCATATGGACCAGTCATAGTTGTTGTGTTCAGCTTCACCCAAATGTATAGTTACATTTCCAAAAGACGTGAACTTCAGGCTGCTGTACCTGCACCATACACACAGCACTGATTCAAGGCAGAAGTACAAACTGGCCTTTAGTCCACAGAGAGACAGACGCAGGTGTTTTAGCTTTTCTTTTCTCTAAATTCAGGCTACAGAGGAGACGGGCATTTGTCTCAGCATGAGACACATGACCCTCAGCTTGGACCTTCACTATCTAGACATCTGCTTCATGTTGGTCTCCCTGCGTTTACACAAGCACGTGCACACGTTTGTACATTCACACGTGTGCACAGTCATGCAGAGTTGAAAAGGGTCTGCATTGGAATGCTGCGGAGAACAGAGAGAACAGGAAGTAGGGATTAAGGAAAGAGGAAGAAGGCGAGAGGGAACAAAGGAGACAAGAGAAAGTGTGGCCTTGATTGTTTTGAATAGAGGTGAGTGGGCCGAGCTTTGGGGGGTGTGTGTGGTCAGCCGCGCGCCGTCATTGGTGGAAACACAGATGGGAGAGTTTCCATCTGGGGGAAGTCATGTGCAGCTCAGACGGAACACTGTTAACATACCGTGCACACCGACACACAGCACATCTTAAATACTCTCCAGGACACAACAATCAAACACTATAATAATGCTGGTACCAGCTGACACTTCACACGCAAACACACATGCCTGAAGTGAACGTAAATAAACACAAGCTCCCTGTCACAACACACACTGTTGCTTTAGCTGAGACAAACAGAGGACCCAAATACACTGAGAGACCCAACTACCAAAACTACTCTTCTCAGTGGTTCCAGGAACACAAGCACACATTCATACTTTCTCAGAATATCTGTTGTATAACCACTGAATTTTTTCCCTTGTTTTTGCAGTTTCAGTGCTTTTTAAATTGGCCCAGTGCACAGTTCTCTACAATATCGTGATAATACCCTTGATATTTATCCTCCTCTACATGGTGATGTTTTCCGTCTCATTCTTATTTGGTTCTTTGTCCATTGAGTCCAGACGAACATGATTGCTGTTAAAATTCAGGCGTTTCAGCGAAACCTAAACAAATCAGTTATCTTTGGCCAGTAGGGGAGTCTCTCAATCAAAACAAAAACAAAGGACCTAGTTTTTTGATGTCATCAAGAAGCACCTGACATGACTCCGGCGAAAATCATGTTCACTGATGAGATAGTTTATTAAAGTCTTATCCATGTTACACATTAAACAGCAATCCTGATCCATTACGATCGACCAATACAAACAGTGGAAGGAAAAAACTGGCTGATCGGCTAACTGACTAAAAGACTACAAATTTGTTTTTCCATCGTCATACGTCGATTGCACCATTTATTAATAAAACTCTTGTTTAACTTTGTTGAAAACATTTTAGAAAATGTAAGTACACAAGTCAACAAATTATATAACAGAGGTCTAGTTGTTTTTAGACATTTCAATGAAGAATTGTTACATTTGATATCTTTAACCATCAAAAATAGAGGAAACGTGAAAATGACTCTGCCCGCCTGTTCAACAATAACCAAATGGATCTTATAAAAGAGAGAACTGACCATTGACTCATCATGTATCAGTGATGTGGTGTTTGTCAGGTTCTGTGTGTTTTCCTGTTGGTTTTGTGTCTCACCGTGAGCGAGGTGAAGGTCAGGCAGATGCCTCCAAAGCCGTTCATGGACAGAGCCAAGAAGATGAGCGCTGACAAAACTGCAAATCAACAAAGAGGAAACAGAGGAAGAGTTAAAGTGATTTACTCTCTCAGAAACAAGTGTGGTAGACTGTGTGTCTACTGTTTTCACCGAGAGCCAAACTTTGTATATTTATGTTACACTTGAAGATTCCACAGATAATCCCTTCTCTCTAAACAGTACCCCAGATCACGTTATAGATAAAGGGCCAACCAACAGTGAAACATAGTGTCTACGCTTAGGAACTTCCATATTGAACTGTAAAGCACCACAGAGGCACCAACTTCAACTCTCACCAACTTCAATGTGATTTAGGAATATATATTTAGTCTGAACTATCCAGTAGGATACGAAAGCCTACATGTAACATAGAGAGTGACAGCAATTCTAGCCATTCATGGATGTGCTGTTAGAATGGGTGATGCAAGTAGAGGAAGATATACTGAGAGACATCTTCAGGTGTGGGTGACAATAGCTCATGTTACTCTGTTAGCGTTTGGTTATTGTTCCAACATCTGGTCTCCTTGATGCATCAAGTCTACATTAACAGCTTATGCATAAGACATCAGCTGCTGCCTGAGTTCTCCTTTCACCAGCTTCCAGAAAACTTCCTCAACAATTTGTATGTTCATTATTTCCAAAGAATTATGTAGGATGAGGAAGTGAGATGATCTGACAGATACTCTGTGTTGAGCATAATGATGCTGTTACACAGTGGAAGAGGCTGAAGGTAGAAAGGCTCAATAAAAACGCCAAAGGGAATAAAACATTCGATTTACAGGCACCAACAGGGGAGTTTATTCTGACTGTTTGAAATTCAAGGTGCAGGATCCCTTCCTTTGAAAATACAAGTACATGGCTGCTATTGCAGGAATAACAAAGTTTTAAGGTGTAACGTAGCTACACTAACACTTAGTTTGTTTTGTTTTTTTTGTTTGGTTCCATGTCTCATCACTAACTCTCCTGTCATTTCAGGGCCTGCCCTTCTTCCTGCCTTGCAATCATGTCATTTCCCTCACRTGGTTTTCCCCGCCCACCTCCTCACCTGCAGTTCATTTGCTCATTAGTTCCTCAGTATAAATACCAGTCATTTTCACTCGCTCCCTGCCAGATTGTCTAGTGTGTTCTTGCCTAGCTATCCCGTGTTATATTCTGTGTTCTTGCCTGCCTGTTCCTGACCTGACTGCTACCCCGCTTGGATTTTGGATTCCCTTCTTGCCTGCCCCTTCGGATTTGTTTGCTGTACGGACTGATATCCTGGTTTTGACCTCTGCCTGTCTTTTCTCWGCCTGTCGGTGAATAAACCACGTTGCCCA